CACAAACTGTCAACGCTGCCTTCTGTTTTCTCATCACTATAGTAATGAAACAGTTGATTTCATACAGCTTTTTACACTTTTATATTCGTATAAAATTCTTGTACAAGCGACTATTGTGAAAACCAAAGCAGACTTGAATCTTACAACGAAGTTTAATGGTTTGAAATTGTATTTGAAATATATGTCATTGTATTTCAATATGTAGTTTAGGAACGTTCTTACCTTTTGTATGCTTAACAGCGTTCAAATTATGTTTAAATTATTGAAATTAGTATTTACGTAAAGTTGAGTCTCTAAAATGTAGTTGTACGGTTGTAAATTACGTTTGTATTATTTAGTCAGTCTTACTACAATATAAAATAATCCTAAATAAATTTACAAACCTGAATTGTTCAAATTAGTTACGTAATTTTTTTCCAAAACAATAAATGATAGAGAACAGATGCTCCAAAATCAGCAATTTTCTATTTTTAGCTTTGGAAATTATGAAGTAACCTGCCCCAACTAAAGGTCATCTTACACGTTTTTTCACCTAAGCTATATCTAGTTTAGTTTGGGTGACAAAGGGTTAAAAATTACTAAATTTTCATAATCATTTTTAATCTTTATCATAAACTATGAATCACTGAGCTATAAAGCATACACAAGGTAATAAATACAAAAACTTTGTCATATCATAATTTAAACGTTTAACAGACACGCAATATTAGAGCAATCTTAATCTTAAGCACCAATTTTTATTAGAACCCATTTGCTCCTGGTCTAGTTAAAGGTCCCATGAAATGTAGTTTTTAATTACACATTTTAGATTTTTGTATGGGTTTTAGACAGCTATGATGCTGGAGCAAATGATATGTGCAAATTTGTGATAAATTGTAAATTTGTAGCAATAATTCAATGTTAACTTGTACACTTGCTTCTGTTCATATTCTATGCATCGACAGTTTTATAAATAAATAATCCTGTATAAATGATTGGAGATTATAATGGATTTAGAATCAAAATAATTATCAATTGATTATGAGTTTTAGAATAATGGCATGCATGTTTTCAACATGTAAGGGAATATATGTACGTGCTTAACTTCATTTGTCAAATAAAAATACCTTTATTCAGCATGTACAAATGCAGTAAAAAAACTTTATTTTATTGCATGCATATTTTTGTAGTATCAGAATGAGAATGTGTAAACAAAGAGATTAACAAAATTAACCGTAATTAATTTAACAAACTTTTAAGGGTTGAACCAATACAGATTTTAATTTCCCTAAAATTTTTCTGTCAGAAGTAGTGTTTTAGAAATACGTTTTATCAACAACCACTCTTAAAACGTTTAGGACGCATAAAACGTCTTAAAGCATACAATTGCCTTTTGGTCAATCTTTGCCATTTTTACTTTATTTATAGCCTATCTGTAACACTTGATTGTTTATTTATTATGTTTAGAGGTTAGGTTAAGTCATTATAAATTTAACTAACTAGTCCACATTTATAGGACAGTGCCAAACTGTATTATGTAAATAGTAGTCTAATTTGGGAATCAATTTTAGAGGGCACTTGTTAAGGTGGTCAAAGAAATGTGTTTAGGTGGTTAAGATACGAGTTTAATTTATCGTTTTCTGGTTCGATTTTCCTCAGGAATATTCTTTGTAAAGACAAAATAGACATTTTAATTATTTCTCTCTTAGTTTGTTTTTATTAGTTTGGTTTGTTGTAGCACATAAATTATTTTCTCAGGTAAAACAATCACAATAATGTTATGGCTTTAGTTAGTTGCACAATTATTGTCCTATAAAATATAGTAGAATACTATTTCCTATTTTGAAATAATGGAAATAATTAACTCGTTTTAAAAGCCAATACTATTAATAATCTTGGTAACAAGTAAAGATGTATCATTCCTATGAGCACAAAACAAATGGGTGCCAAAACTATATTTGCTTACAATATATTGTTCAAAAAACTAATGGCATGCAATCAATGTTTTAAAGACTACACAACATTGTTGAACTTTCCAATTCTCAGATATGATTGCAATATTTCTGTTAATGCTTGAGTGTATGTGTTTCTTGTATGTATTTCTTTATTGTTATAGGTTATTTTAATACTTTTAAAATTACTTACCATTATGAACGATATATTTATTAATAACTGCTTGTTCTCTGATACCACAGACCAAATGCACATTATAAAACTTATCGTCATAAGAGGCACATTTACTCATCAATACACTTCACACTCAGGCATTACCTAACGTGAAACCCACTAAACCTAGTTTTAAATTTTACCATGGGACAAGAAGTTAGTACCTATCTAAAGTGGTGTTTCTTTTAATCACAATGTACAGTACTATTTCTTGCTGTAAATGGTTAGTATCTGTTGTAGTATTGTTATTCATTTATAATTATAATTTATTTTAAGTGATTTTATTATACTCTTGAGTTATGTTTATAAAAGTGCTTTATGAATGTTGGCATTTTGCACAGACTGTAAATAACGGAGCATAGATGACAAATCTCAGTTTGTTTGTATGTACATTTTGTAAACTTGTATATTCTGTTATGTTGTTGACTGTATATAATGTTCACTGCTATGTGTTATCGAATATTTGTTTTGTAGTATTGTTATGATCACAACAATGTTTATCTTTATATGTACTCCAGCCTCTTGCTTAGGTATAGGTGAAATTATTCTAATTATAAAATGAAATTGGTTTGTGTTTGTGGTAGGATGAGGCAGGAAATTATTTGATTTTATGCCTAATATGGAAAATGGGCTCTACTTAACAAACTTTATTGGTTTTTATTTTACAAGCCTTTTATGGTAATAATTTTCAACATTTTTCAGGAAATGTCCTAATTTTTTACTAAATTAAGTTAATTACGATAAAACTTATTTGGTCTATAAATTATCAAGTTTTCTCGGTAGGGGAACTAATAAATTTTTCCTACAGTTACCTAACAATGTAAAGGGTTCTCTCACTGATTTGAGAAAGCAAAGTAGCCAATTCGCTCATCAGTGAGACAAATGTTAACATTGTCTCTCTCTAATTACTTTGTCTCACTCCAGATTTGCAACGTGAAGGCACGAAATAGTGAGCGCGTAACATGCAGGCAACGTCGTATGCGCGCGAAATACGTTGGCAGCACTGGCTGTAAATCAGCTGGTCAGCTGTTGTACTGTTGTATTTGTCACTTCACGTTAAATGTTATATTAAAAGTTCACTTCTGTGTAAAAATAGGTTATGTTTCTTCACCAATTTATTTGTTTTATGGTAACTGTAGGAAAAGTATAATGTGCAACTCGGGTTCAAAGTACAATTGCCTCACTCGAGAAACCATTCCTCACTCGCCTACGGCTCGTGAGTAAGGATTTCTCTCGAGTGAGTCAATTGCTCACTTTTCTCACTAGTTGCACAAATAACTATTTTGGCACTGATTTTTCGGTATAATCCTTAGACAGATGGTACCATTCAATCCCCTTGTGAAAGTAGTTGCCAGTTTTTAAAATGAAACAGAACGTTCAGTTTTTAAAATTTTCATGTATGTCCCAACCTCACATTCTAGGACACTAGGTTCTAGCCCAGAGTTGTTTTACACATTACTTCAGGCTAGTCCTGGTATTTGAACCGCCTTAAACACTTAAGTACAATGCTCGTGAAATCAGCTGTGGCTCTACCACTAACAAGTTGGAAGCGAACTGGTCTAGTAGTAGAGCTTGGGGCTTCAGAGCCTGAGTTTATATTCCGCCAATTACTAATATTATCTTAAATGATAATGCTGCAACCCTCTATGACTAGCCTGGAGTGACATGTTAAAAGATTCCATGCTAGAACTAGTGTCCTATAATGTGAAGGTAGGACAAAAAACACCAACAAAGGCAATGTGTAATTTGTACCTGAGCCTTAATGCAGCATGATTCTTTACAATAATAGAGTGAAAGTTTTATTTAATTCCATATTTGTAAAATATCCTGCATGACCAAAATAGATTGAACTTAAAAAGTATCTCAAGTGGATGATAAAACACAAAATCAAAGTATTCCCATAATTTACAAACATTTTGTACATTAATAAAAATAAAAAAAAATCTTACACGTTTAACCAATAATCGATTTCCCTGCCTCAAAGTGTTTTAGGTAATATATTGAGTCATCTAATAGTGCTATGTTATGAGAGAACCTAGGGTAGTGTTAGCACATTATATTTTTGTATTTGCTCAATGCCCAGACCAGACAATATTAGTGTAGTCTTGAGCCATTAAGATATGCCTGGTGGAAGCTCTTGAAAATGAGAGATTAATAAAAGGCTGTGAGTCAATAATTGTTGTACAGTATTTTTTCTTACCTTTTGCATAACATTTTATTCATTCAGTGGATTCTTTACACTAAATACATCTAGGTCGACACTAAAGGGGACTAGGGAGCCCAATGACAATTTTCTATAATATAATTATGAATCAAACAAAGCAATATTGCAATTTATCCAAACATTTCTGATAATTTGATATTATATTTCAAGGAAATCGGTCTATGTATACATATTTTAACGACAAAATATCAATAATAATCCATCATTGAGATTTGAGATGTGAGCGTCACCTAGGTGCGCGTATTTTAACCCAAATATGAGTCCAGGATCTTTTAGCCATGATAATAAATGGCTGGGTCCAGTTTTGAACCATCAAAAAGCTACCAATTTTCTCAAGATCAAAATGGTGACCTTTTGATTTCTAGGCGAGCATTATAATCATTCGGCTACCCAGCCAGTCATAAAGGACTGGCCGCCGCACCAGTGAACAATATATGGCGGACATGGACCCAACACTAGGCTCGCCATAACTGTCTATATTAATTATATTTGCAGCTTACAGTACATCTCAAAACAAAGTAGGAAGTAATTCTGGTTGGGAAGAAGCTGAGAGTGAGACTTAAGTATGTTATTTAACTGAGTTATAACATACTTAAGTCTCATGCTCAGCATGGGAAGAGTAAAAAACCAATTAACACACACAACATATATATTTAAACATCTAAATATATACAAAAAGATTGTTAGAAACATAAAAAAAGAAAATAGGCCTAAGATTAAATACATGTCATAATGCATAAGTAAAAAATATATTCTTAGTACAGGCTAAATATTATAAGAAAAAAATAAATAATTAGGTTTATGAGAAAAAAAGCCTTACATTAATGAAATAAATATTGGGATTACAAAGTCCCAAGTGAAACTTTTAAATTTTTTTTGGAAACCCACACAAATAAGATCCAAATATCAATGATCTAAAACCATTCTACAGGGTATTTCACATGCTAGTTTTTGTTGATTAAGTAAGAATAAAGATTGTAGGTATTGATAAGTATACTATACAGTAGATACAATCTAAAGTCTTGCTATATTTGTTACAAAAAAACAAACTGAAAAATGACTGTATTGAATGATCCGTTGCAAGAGTAAACAGAATTTATAAACCAGGAATACTTAAAATTTAAATACAATAATTATAGAACTATAATAATAATTTAATGAATGCACAAAGTTTTCATTTGCTAATCTTTGGTTCCAAATTCTTAACACCGATTAAACATTTCATCATTAAAAACTTATTTATTACATTGAATTATTGAAATCTTTTGCATATTATTTGCCCATCAGTTGTAGTTAACATACAACTATCCTTATCTAAGTTTTTGACTGTCAAAGAATTATTTCCCAACGTTTAATTAAACCATGGCACTTTCACTGAGTTTGACTTTAAAATTTGAGCCTAATACTGTATCTGAAAAAAAGCAAAAATATACGTCTAAACACTTGTAATAATATATTTACACTTACTGTTGACTTACAAGACAGTAAATACATATAAAAGTTGGTAAGTGCCAGTGGTGATCACTCAAATCATCATCCAATCGAAATCGATCACCACTTACCAACTTTTATATGTATTTACCGTCTTGTAATTCAACAGTATTCAAGTGCAAATATATTATTACATGTGTTATTAGACGTATATATTTTTGCTTTTTTCAGGTAATTTAATAACACGTACGATGCTGATCAAGAAATTATTAATACTGTATGTCATTTAAGTCATCAAGAACTTTTTTCTTAAGCTTAATTTAAAAATAATTATTTCTAACAGTTTTTATTTATTTGATACAATTTTGATGGAACTACTGTTTGAACAAAAACTTTTGATAAAAATAATTAAATTGGTAGATAGATAGTGAGAAAGGTTATGAACATTCAAAAATTATTCAAATATTCAAATAAAATCTTCACTAATTCAAGTAAAAAAGAAAGCGAGTATGTCAGTAAAAAGCACATTTGTAGCGATCTGCAGTTTGATTTCATACAGTCAAAATTGGTACCGAAACATGACATCAATGAGAAAGTTTTTGATTCCACTGTGCGTACAAATGTAAGGCACAATGTTCAAACTCATTTTGATAAAACTCTTTGTAAATGTTATAATAAAGAAGTTTTAAGTATTGTGGCACGGGCGAAGTATATACAAATATATAAATAAGATAATAAAAATATACAGTATAGCATTAAATTGACCATATTAATAATTGGTATAGCCTATTTAACAAACATGAGTTAGGTTAGTTATTATAGAAAACTACAAAAGTCAGTTTTATTGGATAGTTGGTTTAATTGTATAGATTCAAGAAAAAAACAGTTGGTTTTTATTTATTTTGTTTGTTGTTTTTGTTTTGTGATGGTTTGACAGCTATTAATAGTTGGTAACCATATAAGACACTGTTATGGCTTTTAATACAATAACTAACCTTTTTGTTTTCACGAGTCTTTGATTTGTGCAATTTGATTAAATCTCAAAAACTACAATACTAGATAAAGGTTTTGATTACAAAATTGTCATTTCTATTTGAACACATTCAAAGGTAGAGTATTCTTTTGATTAAAACATCTATAAGTCTAGAGTAATTTTTTAATCACACATAAAAAAACATTGAAATCAATAGAGAGCTGGAAAGAGCGGTTTTGAATCGAAGTACAAAATTGCCTAAGGTATACCATTCAACTAACAATGTTTTTGTATAATAAACTGCCATTACATCCTAATAAAGGTTGCAGATATTTTTGATTCCTGAATGAGAAGATGAAATGAGAGATTTTGATAGGATGTCAACTCAACTATTAATACACAGCAATGGCTTATACATTAGAACCCCTCATCTTCGACCTCGGAATAACCTACTCCTCGGGATATCCGACCTAGTGTCTGACTTTGATTTGAACTACATTTTTCCTATCTGGGGCGATAACGTATGTAAACGTAGGTAAACCGAAAGGCTGATCGTTGATGTTGCCGTAATCGCAGCAGACAATCACAACTGTCGCCAATAACGGGTGTTGCTGCAGTCGCGAGAGACGATTATCGAAGTTGCAGAGACTCCAAGTTACGCTCACGGATGTTGCCGCGGGAGATGATTACTGATGTCGCGGAGACTGCAGGTTATGCTCCTCCCGATATCCGACCTTAAGGCCGTTCCGACTGTGCCCCAGCCCCGTCATGGTTGGATATGAGGGGTTCTACTGTAGATGAGGTCTTTATGACGCTGACAAGGGTTTGGATTTCAAGGCAAATATTAACAGTGTTGAATAAATTAAATTGCATGATGGGAAATTGGATCAGATCATGTCTACTGTTTAATATTATCAAATTAACCATCAATTAATTTGTATAAAAGCTTCATATTTTTTATAAAAGTATATAACAATTAGTTGTCAAAGATATACCACAAAGTATACTTTTATATACTAGTATCTTTTAGTTTACTACCAAACACACACTAAATCTTACAATGAAAAACATACAAATACTTGATTACATAAATATTTTTGATCCAATGCAAAATATTGATTCAAATTTAATAAAAAAAGAGATTATATTTATTTTAAAACTACATGTGAGAATAAAAACCGTTCAGCTCATGACTAGTCCAACTTTTAAACTCCAGGCTATACAATAATACTAGGAACAAGACGAAAATAAAATATAAAACTTTCAAAAATAATAATAAGCTTTGGATGAAACTGATAGGAATTTCGTTCCTGTCCTATACAACAGACATTATCAGCTACAACAAAACTCGTTACTAACTGCCTGACTTTTTTACAAACTTCAACAGCATCGGCAGTTACACTAAATGCTTACTACTTTATTAGTAGAGGTTAAGTAATTAATTGTAAGTTAATAGATGAACTCACGTCGCAGCTGGTTGGCGGAGTCGGTGGAGGTGAGGTGGCTGACGCTACAACGCGGTGTGTCCTATGCTTTGTAGCGGTCACGTTGTTGGATCGCGCAGCACAGCACGAGAGCGAAAGACAGTCCGAGACATTGTGCAATCGCAACTGCGACTCCGATACCAACAACAGTGCTCATGTATTCCCTCAGCTTATCTTGCAGCTTCTTTGTGCATCCCTGGAAATAAACAATTGGTGATTCACATCCTTAATTGAATTGAAAGAATATAATTTAAGTTACTAAAGTTCACCTTTATAGGTATTAGTGATTTAACAAAACAGGAAAAATTACAGCGTTGACTCACAACGACCAATATCAGATTGTCTTGTTGCAACAAGCTCAATGTTAATAATAGAACCATTGGTACATTACAAGCCTAAAGGATAGAAAATTTATTTCTGTAGTCTGAGCAATACTAATTTCAAAAGTAAGTTGATTTGTTTTTAGGATCTTTTCTCACCAAGTTAAAGAGGAGATGCAGGCCATCTCTCTGATACACCTGTTTTGTACTTTCAAAGATTGTTGTCTATTCTTTATTTGCTTTCATTTTAGGCTACAAAGATATTTAGAAGTGGTTTTTGGCTGTTTTAGTCAAATAGGCTTCCATAAAAGTTTTAAAAGATTAAAATTTGTGTGTTTCATAATTTACAACAGCCAATCATTGGATTAAAACTAGGCCTACGGTATATGAACAATTAATAATCAATCTAATCAGCAACTATGACCTTATTTCGAAGCATTCCTGCTCCAAAAACAGCTTTGTACTATTAGAATCTTTATTTTCAGATTTATTGGATTCTGATTTCTCGTGTTATCCACTCCATCCACCTCTCCCAGCAAACGATCGCATGCAGTGGGAGGGCAAGAAGTTTCTTGATAAAATGAGTCTTGATAATTTCTGTGTTCACCCCTGTCAGCACCCAGAAAATAAATGTCAGGCATTTGGTATCTATATTTGACTATATTATCTGATTGTCAACTAGACACACAACTATTACAAACACAGTACATTACTTTGAGAAATTTATTTATTGTCGACATCTCTCTGCAACCTCTCACCTCGTAGTTACAGAGTGAACGGAAAAAACGGTTCAAACGGCCGAAAGTACAAGCATAGATTTATCTGAAATTGTACAGTTACAGCAAAGAATACACTCACTTCCTGATAGACGTGCTCGTTGTTTGGGACGATAGGGGTCTTGAGATCCTTACACTGCTCACTGCCTTCCGGCAACGCGCAGCAACTGGCCGGCAATTTGTACAGCTTCATGGGAGATAAGATGGACAGGTTGATGCCTTGTTTGCCTCCGTTGTTGAACCTGCTGCTCACCCAGTCACTAGGGCTGTTAGCTCCACAGCATCCCAACTGGAACACAAGGAAAATTATTCATTAAAAACCCATAATTGAATAGATCAACAAAGTAGCCACAATTATCCCAGGGTATCTGGCATTCCATAAAAAGGACAATGAACTAACCATGTTTTTCAGGTTAAAAATTTTGTTTTGTTTTTAGAATAAATGTAGACTTTTTACAACAAAATTTCAGAATGTTAAAGCAATTGCGGAAGTTATCGGTAAAGTCTGATTAATAAAAAATCCATAACGTTGCCGAGGTCCCATAACATGATCACAATTAAGCTGTGATTGCAGAAGATTCTGGAATTTGCATTAAATCACAAAGTTTTGAAAAATTGATGGTAAGGCTATTATACATTTTGACGAATCAAGACTCGGAATTTTATTTTACAAAATGTATGATTTAGGTTTTTATCAGTATGGTTAATCACTGGGATAACCCTGGGTAGGATAATCCGATCCGCCTGGCTTGACATTCCAAACCCAAATTTATTTAGGCAAGGAATTCAAATTGCATTAAACCATAAGCAGGCTTATTCAAGAAACCTAGTACTAGGCTATCACAAAAGATACAGAAATAAAGATTTATTTGTAGAAAAAAAAAACCACACCAAAACTTACACCTTGCTGTATGGCGTCGAAAGTCTGTGTACGACTGTCCACTACGCTATACTCCTCTTGCACTGTTGTCTCCACACTGTCCCTGACCAACTCTTCCAACTGATGACTGTTGCTGTAGGCCCAGGCGCCTGCCGATATCTCAGCCACCAAGATGATCAGGAGAAGACAGAAAAACTGTAATTCCAGACAAATATATATCATCACTGGGTCGACAGTTCGAGCCTAAGAATAACAACTAGTGTACATGTTGCTCGAATTCAAGCAATTGCAAAGTATTACAGGAGTTATTTCAATGAGTTTAAAAGAGTCAACTCAAAGATTACCGGTGTGTAACCCAGACCATGTTTATCTTCGTTATTGATAATCCTAAAGCATTCCGGGCGGTTTTCTCCTTCTCAAAATGCCTCGCTGTACAGGCAACACAGGTCATTGATAGAGGGCCAATTAGCTGCGGTCGTTATCTTGATTACGCCTCCTGTCTATGTTTTGTTGTCGTCATGTCAGAGGCATTTAAAAGAAAAAAACAACAAATAAACAAATTATAGCTACACAAAAAAACGATAAATGCACAAATTTAAGTTACAATCATGCTAACACGATCCGTCATAGCGACACAAAACAACAATAAATACACAAATTTAAGATACAACCATACTAACACGATCCGTCTTCAAACTCAAATAGTAAATAAATGTCCTCAATGCGTTTCATTGAATTGAAAAATAAACAACAGCAATTAAAATACAGCTGATCAAAATGTAAACGATTATGTTCTTCATAAGGATAACATGGGCACTTTCAAAGCCACTGGGGCAGAGCCCAAGGGACATTTTCACAAATCTAAGGCCAGTTTGCAAATCTACAAGGCACGCTCTTTCCAATGAGATGTCAATGTATAAAATCGGTTAAGAAATGGCGGAGGAGTTCAACCAACAAAGTTTCATGTAGCGTATTAATTATATACCTAGATAAGCTTTTGATTCTTTAAAACTGGCCCCAGCTGTAGGCCTAATTAATTGGGTTGTAGTGTTTGAGCTCCGAATTGTGTTAAATTTTGTTTAGACCGATATGTAGGCTAATTTTTTTAAACCTTACTCTTGTTTTTATCAGGAAATAATTTGGGTTTGTGTGACTTCAAAATATGAAAAAATAAACAATGTGGTCAACAGAAAACAATCCGTGATGTTAAGAACATATAGGCCTAGGTAAGAAATGATAAATAAATTATTAGTCAATTACTTACCAAAACAAGCATACACTGAGATTCTTTTATTGCTCCGCAGCACCCGAGAAACCCTACAATGAACATTAAAGTCCCAACGATCAGGAAGAGGTAGATTCCAGTGTAGTAGCTTGACTCATCTTGAGCCATGCTCATGTAGAATGTGGGGTCAGTGAGCATCCACACCGATAGAACAATAATGGTCAAACCAGTTATCTGCAAAACAATTCAAATTAATTACAGTAATAACTTATGCATAGGCTATTTGACAATAAGGAATTCCATAAGTAGGCTACTTAGAACTAAAATATTAAATAAATTAGGTAGTACACAAATAGGCAATGATCTAAGCAATTTTTTTCTACTTCAACCACCGGCAGTTTTAAATATTTTTTTTAAGAGCCACTCTTAGCCTAAGCTAAATAGCTTTTTTGAACGGATTCTTGAGGCTGCCATAAAATGGGCATTTATGATTTTGAACAGGGATATTTGGATAGTGGAATAAGAATCATTCTTTTAAGTTCCTGAGGAATCTAAGTAAGTAGGTCATGACTCATCCCTTTATGTTCAGTATGAGCAAATTTGGCAGAACGATTCCACTGGTTGAATCGGGACCAGAATTTATTTTTCCACTTTGATCAACCTTAAGTGATAATTTACAATTTATTTGTGTTGTGTAATATGTTGAGTGCGGGCACAAAACTTGTGCCCAGGCCAGCCCGGTCACCGGTGCTTGGCCACTGGCCAGGTCCCGCAAAAATGAATCAATCATTGTGGCGCGGTCTTGAGGAGTAGACGGGAGTTAGCCTATTGCATGTGCGTTACTAGCATAACCTTTTAACCTCTATTGTGTGTGTTTTGCCCGCCGTTCCCGCAGACCGGCACCAGTCACCTGTGACCTGTAAATTTCTACTTACAAATTTAAAAAGTGCACATTTATTGAAGTAGCCTACTTCTTTTGTGTTTTTATATTGTTAACTTAGGCTATATGACACAAAAATATCGTTCATTGTTTATTAGTAGACTACCTATGTTTCTTTTTTATGGCACTTGTCAAGACAATCCAGGATTAAGTTAAGTTATGCATACGGAATTTTTTCAAACAGTTCAATACGCAGTTTGAGTGAAAAAAAAACAATGAATGGGAGGGAGGAAGGGACTGTTTAAATAATTGGAAATAATAAATATAACCTAGTGCAATTTAACATTTTAGGGTGTTTCTATTACATTTTAACTTGCACGGGCCGGCCCGGTCACTGCTGACTGGAGATTTTGGGCAACATTTGTTTACAGTATTTAGAAAAAAGGCTCAAAACAAAATTTCCTACCTGGATCCTCACTTTTGAAAACAAAAAATAAGATTCTAAACTTACATAATGAAAAGGAAAATTTCAGACCCTGGGGGAGCACACTTATTTTCACCGCACTCAATGTGTTAACACCATAAATAGACCAGGGGCCTAGGGCTTAGATTGCCTAATATATCATGTCTTTTTATTTGGCCTACAGTAGCCTAACTCTAAGGGTGTGGTTTTTGTCTCAGGATAGTTCCTAGACAGAAAACCAGGCTCACATTGCACGAAATGGGCTTGGAAGATGAAAGATTAGATCTCTATAGGGCATAAGATTAGTTATCTACCTAGATCCAAACCGTATTTTCCACTAACAACAAGTAAAGGCCAGCCCACGACACACTAGGCTTAATGCTAAAATGCAAGTAAGAAAACTTACCCAAAACACAAGGTTCACGAAAAACACAAGGTATTTCAGTATTCCGTAGCACCCTGTTAGACCCATTTTAAGGCTTAAAATGTAATATTAAGATTATTAGTAAAGATGATTGTATATTTTTAAAACTATTATGATAGGCCTACTGCCTGCTATATTTCTGGTCCCTATGAACTTTCGGAGATCGTTTCCAACTTAATCAAGATGGTCAAATTTGTACGCATTGGTAATGTATGTCAGACTATAGGTGGAAGACACGAGTGATGCTTCACCAAAATATTTATAAAATTCAACTACAGAACACAAAAATTATCTCAAATCATAACAATTCCTTAGTTTCCAGTCTTTAGCCAACACCAGCAAGGGCAACAACAAAACAACACAACACAACACCCGAACACCGTCGTCGTCGTCCCCTCGGTCGCTCGGTCGGCCTCTCTCTCCTCTCGCTCGCTCTCGGATCAAACAAAATCTCCTTTTTTGGTCATTCTAACTCAAGGGGCTTATGGGAAATGCAATGACAAAAACAGCTGCAGAATACAGATAGACTAGTAGAGATTCATATTATGTATATGATTAAAATCAATTTTAACACAGCTTTGCAAAATGCATTGACTTTTCATGATAGTAAACATCATATTAGAACAGCATACAAAAATACAATAATATTCCATTGACAGATGAAGCCATTTTGAAAGGATCCATTGAATATCATGAAGGGCAACAACTAGAACCATTGTATCCATTCTGTAAACAGTTAGTTGTAAACTTTTGGGAAATATTAATACACCAAGTGAGGGCTGGAGTGGAGTAAGTGGAGTTTAAACTTGCATTTCGGTTCGGGGTAGTCTAGATGTATACCTTACCTGCAGCGAGTGCAGCGGCGTCGTTGCCAAGAATTTCTAGATGGACTGATAGAGACTGCGTCAAGGACAAAAAAATCTAAAAATACTATCAACTATGTACACACTATTTACAATATTTTAGGCAAGATGTTATTGTTAATACTGTTACTGTTAATATTGAGCCTATACTTGGTGCAAAGCATAAAAATAATATTCATTAACTGGGGATACAGTGGTCGGTGACTAGCCAGAGGGGCTTTGACTGTTCTTTGAAAAGCGGGTGGTTCACAAGAGTCTTAAATATTTGGGGGAGATCATTGTACATCTTCAGAGCCCTATAATCCAGAAACAGCTTTGTTTTTTTGGAGAGCCAGTAAGATGTGTGAAGCTATCCTCTGTTACGAATGTTGTGGGATTGGCGGAATTCCCTTGTTTTGAGCTGGTGAAGATTATCCCTCACATAACAAATAGGCTTAACAGTACATACTGGTTGAGTTGAAGATGGTAAGGAATTTTTAGATTTATGAACATTGGCCTACAGTATTCACTGTAACTCATCGATGCAATGATCCGAACCGGCTTTTTGTTTTGGAGGACAAGAATATCTTCACACCTTGCAGCGTGTAACCTTGAGCATGAGGTGGGAATGAAATACAGTAAGCCATGATAGACCAAGATGATAGACAGCGGTCAGCCTCGTCAACAGGGGGTTAAGTGTTTCGGAGTAGTGTAAAGCATAGCGTAACGTATGGTAATTCAGATCATCCAAGTCAACTTCTTTTATTTTTGCTGCAGCACCATATAGCCACTCGGAAACAAAATGTTCTTGACACTAGTGATCAGTTCAGTTTCACAAGACAAGGACTACTTAGTAGACACGAAAAACGAGCTTCAAAATTTACAATGGGATGAGACATGATGAGAAGTCTTCTTGTGTTGGTTAGTGTATGGTATTACTATTCTGATAGAGACGCAGTGAATTGAAGCTAAGGGAGTATGATTTATCTACGATTGAAGTTTGAGTTTCTTACTTCATAAGAAACCCTGATACTAGAAGAAACTACTTCAACTACTTTTTTTCCCATTTTGTTTCGTTTTTATGTAATGAGATTAGACGTTATGGATTTAGATGCTATGGTACACACCCATGTTATGTTATTAATTCTTTAACTTTAGGCTGGAAACACAGTCAAGCCTAGCTCTTCACACACTAGGACAAACTAAAAAAAAGTAAGATTTGGAGGGAAACTTGTGTTGTGTTCAGTGTTGCCACTTTTAGGGTAATTACCCTTTTTTAGGGTAATTTACTGGTCATAGGGTAAATTTTAGGGTAATGGTAGATTTAGGGTAATTTTAGGGTAAAACTAAAAGTTAGCATAACAATGGAAATTTTACTAAAAACATGAAAAAAACTTCAAAATCTGGCAAAAAACGTTCATTACATACTATGGCCAAGTCATCATATTCGATTCAACCGGTTTAAATCTAATTGCTACAATGGATTTTTCATAATAAGTTATCCTAATTGATCTTATCAATAGTTGTGAATTATCTGTTTTAGAATGTATTCGATTCTATAACACGTTATAGGCCTTACAAAATATGAAATATTATTCATTACTGGGTTTGATATTTAATTGTGTAATTAAATTGAATTAAACTGGATTATTTTACAAATTGTGTCAAGAAATTACTACTATGTATAAATTAAAGCTTTGGTGGTACCGTACTGTACTTTAAAGATAGTCCAAAAAACAGTAGTAATGGGTCGATACAGTAAAAAAATACGTTATAAGTTCTATAAAAATAAGTTCTTGATTCGATATTTTTTGTATATACGATAGAGCTGAATATCAAAATTTTGTTCTTCTTTCGGGATGTTTTTTAGAATCGAGTATAATTTTACATAAATTGATTGATTTTGGAACTTTATTTAGTATAATTAACCACCTTGTGTAAGATTTATATGATTTTAACAATGTTTTATGGCATTAAACGCAAATATTAACATTTAGGGTAATTTTTAGGGTAACTTAAAGTAGATTTAGGGTAATTTAGGGTAATTTTAGCCCGCCTTTAGGGTAAAATCGCAACAACGCGGTGGCAACACTGGTTGTGTTGAGTGTTGGTTGAATCAGAAGCAGAAGTAGGAACTAGGAAGGAACGTACGTACTAACAGTAACTCATCAATTCTGTGTTTGTAATGTTACTTCATGTTCTTTTTGAGTTTTTCACTTTCCACTCCATTCCATCTAGTACCTAACTTATATTCCGCCTCTTTCCATCCCTCGAAGGACAAACTTGCTAATTTCTTTACGATAAATTTAAATTACATTTTGAAACGTCATGAGTGATGATGAAATTGGAAGGATTCACGACCCTAATGCAGAAGCAGGAATCTCAGGAGAGGAAGAATTCCCTCACGGTAAGTTCGAGTTGGAATTATCTTAGGCTTTATATGTTAGTAAGACCTACTTCTCTTAGATGCATTTTGGAGATATGTCAAGCTTTACAGTACTACTGAACAACATGGCAAGCTATTTGATTATAGCCTATAGGCCTACAGGCCTATGTTTTTGTACCATATTCTGATAATTCGTGCCACAATGTTACCATAGTTTGACACTCATTTCATCATGTTAACACATTCGCTGCGGCGGGTCCGCCGGCAGACCCCAGATGCCGCCGCGAAAGTGCTAGGGGGCCGCCGGCAGTGCCCCGCGCCATGTCATGTTTATTGTTTCAATGTGAGCTCAGCCATTGTCGGGGAACGTTGTAATCTTTACCAGCCTGTAGCTTATAATGCGAGATTTATTCTTGTGTAGGTTGGTACAAAAATTGCCCGTAAAATCCCGTCTGGCAATGCTTTTGTCCCGTTTTCGGGGATTTTCTCAGTTCGAGCCGTATTACAAAGACTCTGGTTATTGATCCAGGCAGCGCTGCTACCTTTGGGTGTTTCAGTGAACTACGTCCACATTCGGAGTAACGCAGAACAATCACCACTGCTCTTTTGTGATTCGTCTTACTGAGATTTCAATACCAATAGCGATCGCTGATTCAGTTAGCGCGTTGGGGCTCCGCCCGGGCCTCGCCGCCATTGGCGAGCGCCTGTTTAAAGGTTTTCAGCAGCGAATGTGTTAAGTTACCACAATCTCTGTTTATGTTGGTAATATATAAAATCAGGTGATGTTTCTTCAAATTAAGGAGCTCATGGCTATTCCCATCATGACACCTTTCCAAACACAGCCTAAGTTAAATACAACCCAGGTTAGCCTAGTCAGGTTGCCTAGGTTAGAGTGTCTAGGCAGCCAGTGCAACTCCGAGGATCGTGGATCAGAACACCCCCCACCACCGCACCATGTTGTACGCTTCCGAATCATACCGGCGCATCAGCATAGCCTAACTGTTCACGGAAAATTGTTATCTCTATCACTGTCGCTGACAAAACGTATCGTTTGTTTAGGTAAAATTTAATTTAAAAAAATTAAACTGTCATAACCTAACCAAACTTGCCGATAATGAAAGACTCGAATGAAGGTTTACTAATCGAAAACATAGTTCTGTTCTAAAAATAAAATTATAAATGTCTCAAATTTAATTTTATAATATTTTTATTACAAAATAAACTGTCAAACTTAACCCTCCAAGTGTCCATAGTAATGGTATTAATGTCCGCCCATTTATTGCGCAATTGCAGGGTTTTATTAAAATGTATCTTATAAACTTAAAAACAATGTAAAGTATACTTTTTTACAGTATATAGGCTATCATTTTGTATGGGAAATTATGGGCTTCAATGTAATATTTAAAACATTACAAAAAAAATTTCCAACAATTTTTGTGGGGTTATCATTTCTAAAAAATTATAAAATAAATTAAAAAAATGTATATGTTTTTTGCGCTCAATAAATTTTTATAATTTATAAGTCTACAAATATTTTTAAATAGCCACTTTGTTCTAAATTTTATAAGGATAAGGACAAAAATATAATAATATAAGGAAGTAAATTTGCAAATAAATAAGTTATGGGTGAAAAACAGATTTTGTACATTTAGCGTTAGCTAAGAATGCATAGCCTAACCATAGCTAAGAATCTGGCCGATAATGTACATCAATATCACTACCTACTTCTTCAGGATCATCAACCAGCCCTTCAAAATCACTTAAATCTTCTTATAATGCACCACTTATATCACTTTTTTTATTTTTAACACTAAAACAATGATTAACGTAATAAAACACATCAGTCATCGGTGCGAAGTTAACCAAGTTGGGACGCCACTATGTGCGTTTTGATTGACTAAGTTAAATTTTAACTATAAGTAAGTTCTGCTTTGCCTGTTTTAAAGACTTACAGTGAGTGTCAGTTACTGTTTTAGTAAACAAAATAACATGTGTCCGTAGGCTAGGAGTAAAATTAATGGGTAAAAATGTCTAAGTTACTTATTGGAGATAGGCGGAGTTATGTGTTACGGTACTCTTCAAATAAGGCAACACCGTCAATATTCCTCAGTCTAGCATTGTGGTTATGGGGTTATAGAGCTTTATATGACTAAATAATTGGTTTT